GAAGAGCAAGCAGTGCTCTTATCCTCTGAGCCATCTCTCCAGCCCCGAGGCTGTTTGTTTTTGCTCTTTGCTGTCTCTGACTCAGGCTCCATGCCTGCTAGGGGGAGGCTGGCATCAGGGTCTCTTCCTTACTGTCACATTCTTGTCCCTGTTAACTCCAGCACGGAACATACTTTGGAACAGAGGTTGTTCTGTGGTGAGACGATTTTTTCATGATCTTTCCTAGCTGGGTCCTAGAAAGCTGTTTGCTCTACATTTGGAATCAGACCTTTGCGGCTGGGGGCGGGCACAGCTGCTGCCTTCCAGCTCCCCTGAGCACCACCCCTTTGTCCCTCACAGCTGTCTGTCTGCCCAATCAGTTCCGGTGCACCAGCGGCCAGTGTGTCCTCATCAAGCAGCAGTGTGACTCCTTCCCTGACTGTGCTGATGGATCTGATGAGCTCATGTGTGGTGAGTGCTTTCAGATAAGTTCCCCCAATGGGGTGTGATCTGGTATGGAATTGGGGTGAGGCTGTGGGACCTGAGGCACCTGGGAAATTTCATTTAGTAAGTGTCCTAGTTTTGTTTCTGCTGCTGTGATAAAATGCCCTGACAAAAAGCAACTTGGGAAGGATGGGTTTATTTGGCTTTCAATTCCAGGTTACATTCCACCATTGTGGGGAGGTCAAGGGAGGGACTGAAGCAGCTGGACACAGTCAGGAAGAGAGATAATGAATGCACACCTTCCTACTAATAATCTCATTTCTTCTCTTATACTATTTAGGACCCCAAACCCAATAGTTTGGTTCTTTTCATATCAGTTAATATAATCAAAGCAAGTTTCCTATAGACTTACTCACAGGCCAACTTGTTCTATACTGTCCCTCTGAGATTCTGTTTCCAGGTGATCCTAGATTGTATCAAGTTGATAACACTTGGCCATCAGAGAAAAACAATAGGAGTGGAGCTTTGGAGTATCCTAACTGGGGATGGAGTGCTGGCAAGGCCAGAGACAGCGACAGGTCCACTTGGCAGTCTGTCTCTCTGAGCTATTGTGCCTCTGAGCAGCCACACTTTTGCCACTCCGACTTTACTTAGTACCATCTGCCCCACAGCCAGGAGCCCCAAGTTTGCATGTGGCCCAAGAAAACTGTATACATTTTACACACATTACATATACATACGTATACACATATACGTATATACATAAGCCTTCAGTAATATGGACTAATAACCTAATAACATGTAAGTGTTAGTGCTAGATAATAGGTGGTTGGGGCAGTCAGGGAAGCTTCCTAAAGGCTGCCACTTAAACAGGAATGAACTGGAATTCCAGAGAAGCTGTAATGCTTTTCTGTCTGGGGCTACTCTATCATTGACCACAGCTTAGAACCCTGCTGCTGGAGAGGAGGGTGTATTGGGAGAAGGAGTTTCCTCGTAGACTCAGAAACCATTACAGTTTAAATGCTTTGGGTGCTGGCTTAAATGCAGTGGCCTGGCTTAGATGGTAGAGTTGGGGTTACTAATGCCCTCTTTCTTCTGCTGGGCAGGTGCCCCATCTGGTAAGGTCTGTACATGGGCTGCCAAAGGCCTGGTGTGTTTGGTGACACTTCCCACACTCAGGCTCCGTCTTCTGAGACAACAGCTTTTCCCCTGTCGGGTGATGGTAGCACACATTTTTAGTCCCAGCACTTGGGAGGCAGAGGCAGGCAGATCTCTGTGAGTTCAAAGCCAGCCTGGTCTACAGAGTTGATTCTAGAACTTCTAGGGCCACACAGAGAAACTCTGTCTTGTGGTGGCGGGGAGTTTTTCCCAGCTCTTTCATGTTGTGGGCAGTTAAGAAGGAATAGAGTTGATGTCCTTGGGAATGTTGGGTCCCAAGATAAACACACTTTTGCCAGATGTTTCAGGGACATGACACACTCAGGTGGCCTTGCAATTGGGATGATATAAGAGCTGCCTTGCCCCCAGTAAACCCCTGTAGAGTGGTATCCAGTGCTCACACCCATCTCCAGATCCCCCTATCCGACTCTCTTACACGTGACATGGGCTACGTCAGGAATACTTGCTGCCAGCCTCCTTGAAGCATGCTGTTGGCAAAGCATTGGGGACACAGTTCAGGCCATTGGAAAGGAGACAGGGAAAAGGGGTGAGTCCTCTGGCAGAAGCAGCAGGCAGTGGTCCCAAAGTGGTCCCCAGGTTACCTGCTCCTTTCTACAGGTCCTGGGGTTTGGCCAAAGGCAGCCCTGCTAGGGTTCACAGCATGTTCCCTGTGGGAGGCCATCACTTTGGGGTTAATGTTAGTGATCTATCCAACAGAAATCAACAAGCCACCCTCAGATGACATCCCAGCCCACAGCAGTGCCATTGGGCCAGTCATTGGCATCATCCTCTCCCTCTTCGTCATGGGCGGGGTCTACTTTGTCTGCCAGCGAGTGATGTGCCAGCGATACACAGGGGCCAGTGGGCCCTTTCCCCATGAGTATGTCAGTGGAACCCCTCACGTGCCTCTCAACTTCATAGCCCCAGGTGGTTCCCAGCACGGTCCCTTCCCAGGTAAGTAACCTGAAGTATTCTCTGTGATGGAGGTGGTTTGTTTAAGTTGTCTGGGAAAAGCCTGGAGGGCCACCCACAGAAATACAGTTTGTGTTTGCAGGTGCCCAGGGGTGACACTTTCTGCTTCAGATCCTATCAGTAGCTTGGTGTGCCCCTGTCTGGGCCTTATGTGGGCTGCAAATACCTGTTCATTTTTGGGCCACCATGGAAACTGCCTGAACCTACACACATTCTTGCCTTCTTCTCTCCTAGCCTATACTGTCTTTTCACTAATTCAGCCTCCTTGGACTACAGTGTCCAGAGGTTGATATGACCTGGTTCATCTTGCGGGTGGAGGGCAGGACTTGTCAGAGGCTGCAATAGTATCACCATCTCAGCATCCTCGAGATAACTGGCTCTGTCTATGTTGTATGCTCTGTACTAAGCCCCTAAAGGGTTCCCTTCTGCAGGCTTCCCAAGAGTTACTATGAGTCTGCATGTATTATGGAGGCCTGAATATCTTGCCCTGGTATAGCCAACGCCTTGTAGGAGGTAGAGACAGTGTCAGTCACATTGACCTGAATAGGAGTTTTATGGTGTCACGACCCAAGCGGGAGTTTGCTCATTCTGACCTGCCTTGCCTTCCCCACAGGCATCCCGTGCAGCAAGTCCATGATGAGTTCCATGAGCCTAGTGGGGGGGCGGGGCAGTGCGCCCTTGTATGACCGGAATCATGTTACTGGGGCCTCATCTAGCAGCTCGTCCAGCACAAAGGCCACACTATATCCACCGGTGAGTGAGACAGGCAGGTAAATGGGTAACAGTGGGAGACTCCCATCAGTGCTAGCTCTGGGGACTTCCTGGGTGGAAGATCTTTCTAGAGCTAGTAATTCTTCCAGTGCCCCAGAGAACAGTGGTGTATGATCCCCTTCTCCATACCCACACTTTTGTTTTTCTCACTGGTGGCATTGTTTTCTGTATATAACAGGATGACTATTGGGGCTGGAGAGATGGCTCAGAGGTTAAGAGCACTGGCTATTCTTCTGGAGGGCCTGAGTTCAATTCCCAGGAACCACATGGTGGCTTATAGCCATCTGTAATGAGATCTTGTGCCCTCTTCTGGCATGCAGACAGAACACTGCATACATAATAAACAAACAAACAAACAAATAAATAAATAAATGGCAACAATCTAGATGGTCTGCAAAAGACACATATACAGAAAGGGATGTGGCTTAGGGCATAGAGTGCTTGTCCAGCATGTACAAAGCTCTAGTCTCTGTCCCTCATTCAACACAGACTAGAGATAGTGGGTATAGAGGTAGAGACAGAAGGATAAGATACCCAAGGTCATCCTTGTTTATATAAGGAGTTTGAGGACAGTCTGAGATTCATGTCCATTTTTCCCCCTTTTTTTTGGTTTTTTGAGACAGGGTTTCTCTTGATGTTGGAGGCTGTCCTGGAACTAGCTCTTGTAGACCATGCTGGTCTTGAACTCAGAGATCCACCTGCCTCTGCCTCCCGAGTGCTGGGATTAAAGGCATGTGCCACCACCGCCCAGCTGAGATGCATGTCTTTCTGTCTCAACCAAAATTTATGGCGGTGCACGCTTTTAATCCCAGCACTTGAGAAGCAGAGGCAGGAGGATCTCTATGATTCAAATCCAACCTTGTCTGTATAGGGAGACATTGTCTAAACAAACAGGCTTCCAGGATAGCCAAGGCTACATAGGAAGACAATGTCTAAACAAAATACTACCAAACAAAATTCCAAAACAAAACTCGAAGTATAAAAGAAATATAGAAGCAGAACTTCATCTCCAATTCCACAGTTATCCCTAGGATTTTCTGGCATTCTGATGGTATTCTCACCTCACATTATTGTCCTCACTGCCTTGCTGGGCCCCTGTAGCCCAGGTGAACTCCCTCTCTCTGTCCCTACTTGGAATATCTGTGATCCCCATTATGGCCTCAATTCCTTGAAAACTGATTATTATCTACCTAAGACAGACAGCCAAGCAGGATAATATTTGTGGCTAAATATTCTCTGGAGCTTTCATCTGAGTAGGATGGGGCTTGGCTCTCTCCCAGCCACACCCTATGGGGAGGGGATTGCTGAGAGTGACTGACCAGCCTTTTCCCGTGAGGGGATGTCCATCCGTGAGGCAAGCTGAGGAAGAAGCCTGTTTCTAAGTGTGCAGATCCTGGGTGGCTTGTGGAACTGTTTGAATCTGTATGTAATACTTCTCCCTTACCTGTGGGGACACAGAAAAGCATATATCCCCACCTCTCTACCCCCACCCCCACCCCCGCAGATGATAAAAACTGGGGATAGTGTCATACGTATACACACTGGCTTTTCCCTGTTTTTATAGACCTGTGGTCAAGTCTAATTTATATATTAGACACAGGAAGATGTCTGTGACTTCTAATAAGCCTGAATAATCATAATCACCCAGTCAGGTATCACAGGGCTGACAGGATGGTTAAATGGGGGAAGGTGCTTGCCACCAAACCTGCTGATATGAATTCAGTTCTGGAACCCACATGGTAGAAGGAGAAAACCAATTCTCTTAGGCTGTCCTCTGACCTCCACACATGCTAGGGCATGTGGGCCCACCTCCAATGAAGAAATAGATACAATATGAAAGAATTTCTGGGTGGTGGTGGCGCACACCTTTAATCCCAGCACTCGGGAGGCACAGGCAGGTGGATTAGAGTGAAGAAAGATACTAGTATTTTCAGGCCTAGGTTGGCTGTGGTTTATCAAATCCACAGTGGGCAAAGACACAGTGAGGGAGCTGCAATAAGCACTTTGTTTCCACCCTAACCCAGTTCTTTCAATTTCCCCAAAGGCAAGGACAGCCAGCCCCTTGTGCTTCTTCTAGGGTCTCCCTAGGAAGCCCACATTGCCAAGGGTTCACCCCTCCCCTTCAGGGTGTCGCTTCTCTGTGTTTTCGTCTCCTTATCATGCTTCCTCTTGTCCTGGTCAGATGGGGCTGAGGACAGTGTTATCTCTGAGTGACAGGACAGGAGCTGAGTCTTCTGAAAGCTCCAGAGCCTATTTTTAGGGGCCAGCATCTGGATTTTAGAACACCTTTGTTTTTCTTCCACTCTCTGCAGCCTCACATAATAATTTGGTGGGCAGAGACTGCACAGAGCTACTCTCTCTTGAGTTGCAGCCTTACACTCAGTGAGCTGAATATTTACAGCTCTGCAGCCGTACAGCCATGCTTTTCGCAGTGGGTTCCTCAGGACATGCCAGAGCCAGCTCTGCAGAAATAGCTCCTCAGCCTACATCACAGGGCACTCAGTAATCAAAGAGCACAGGAGAAAGTGGCGGCAAAGGAGCCCCAGGCCAAATGGACCTCCCCAAGGTTCTCTTTTGGCACTGTTACTATATTTGAGACTGGACCTTGCTGTGTGGTCCACTGTGGACTTGAACTTATCTTCCTGCTGTACCCTCCCAAGTGCCTGAGATTACAAGCATGCACCACCACGCCTAGCTTTTGTAGGAGGCTTTCTCTGTGTGCTCTGAGTGATAATTTATGTGTTTGTAAGATATGAAACTAAGTTTCTCTATCAAGAGGAAGGGTTTTTTTTTTTTTTTTTTTTTTTTTTTTTTTTTTTCTTTTCCTGTTTTTAGGTCATTGTAGATTTATATTCAACTCCAGGGGATAACACCTCCCACCCCCAGTTTCTCATATGGTAAGAAGTTGTGTAACTGCCGTCTAATATAATCAGGACACAGACTCAATCCTTTGAACATGGATTTTACCAATTTATATCTGTTTTTTTATAAACCCAAAAGGGTTATGAAACCTGACTGGCTGACTTGGGGTAGAGTGACATATTAAGCTCTAGATTCAGTGCCTAGTACTATACATACAAAGTACAATATTCTGAGGCTAGTTGGCAGGACAGTTATAGCGGGGCATTGTGGCTCATGTCTATAATCCCCACACATGAGTGGCAGAGTCTTAGTATTACCATTTGTGTGAGGCCGTCCTGGTCTAAATTGTTAAGAGTCTGTCTTAAAAATAAAATACAGGGGGCTGGAGAGATGGCTCAGTAGTTAAGAGCACTGGCTGTTCTTCCAGAGGTTCTGAGTTCAATTCCCAGCATCCACATGGTGGCTTACAACTGTAACTCCAGTTCCAGGGGGGGGATCTGATACCTTCATACCAATGTGCATCAAATAAAGTCAATTAATAATTTAAAAAATAAAATTCAGCAATTCTGTATACACCTTTAATCCAGTGCTTGGGAGGCAGAGACAGATAGATATCTGTGATTTCGAAGCCAACCTGGTCCTACATAATGAGTTCCAGGTTAGACTAAGTTTACATAGTGGGTTCTACATCAGCCTGGGTTACACAGAGAATCCCAGACCAAGTCAGGTCTACGTGGTGAGACAGGGCTACTGTCTCAAATAAATGAAGAAATACATGAATAAGTAAATAGAATTAAGTAAAATGAAAGAAGATCTCCTGAAGAGTTGTCTCAGAGCCTGGCCTTTTGCTGGTAGCAATGTTTACCTAGCATCCCAGTGACTTGTGCTCAGTATGCCCTGTGTACATCCCACAGTAGTACGTGGAAGAGTGTGCATGGTAACCAAAGCCTGGCTGGTTCCTCAGTGGGTGCAGATGAGATTCCCACTGTTCTTTTTTGTCACAGGTTGGGTCACTGGGAGCTGTCCCAGTCTTAGTGCCTGAGTCTGGCCCCTTATTTGGGTGCCTTGGTCTGTCATTTTGACCTCTATTGCTACAGGGGACAGTTCCCCTTCCTGCCATCAGAGGGCCACACTTGCAAGACTTGCTGTCAACACTACACTAGTCTTAATGCAGGATTGATATCACTGAGGAAATATCTGACACAAACAACTTGAAGGGAGGAATGGTTTATTTTGCCTCATAGGTTTAGGGGTTCATAGATTTCAGCCTGGAATTCTGTGGCCCTGTGCTCTTGGGCCAAACATCATGTTGGTGGGAGAGGTTAGCAGAGTATTGAAATAGGAAGTAGAGAGAGTGGCCCAAGGGGCTGGGATGAGGTGGGTGCTCCTCCAGTGATCCACTTCTTCCAAGTGAGCCCTCTTTTATACCTTTGCCACCTCCAATGCCTTCATATCCTTTTTCCATTTTTGTTTTCCTTTTCCTTTGGGTTTTTGAGTCAGGATTTCTCCGTGTAGTTCTGGCTGCCCTAGATCTCACTCTGTAGACGAGGCTGGCCTCAAACTCACAAAGATCCGCCTCCTTCTGCCTCCCGAGTGCTAGGATTAAGACTGTATGCCACCACTGCCCGACCCTATTATTTTTCATCTTGTGATTGATCCATCATTTGGGTCATAGCACTCAGGATCTAATCAGGGGCATCCTGAGATGTGTCTGTCACCAATTCCCCATAAGGCACATCCTCACAGTCCAGTTTGTTTTCTTTTTATCACAGCTGGGGTGAGCAAGTTTCTTCGAGAAATAGGTAGAGCACTTCTCTCATCATCCAGCCTCTGTGTTGGGAAGAGCTCCAGCAGGGACTTGGTATCCTGAGTAGGAGCTGGGTCACAGGCAATGTCAGGAGGTGCAGCAGTGGAAGCCATGTGCAGTCAGCATGATGCTCCTGAGGAAGCGCACAGGCAGGCAGATACACTGGGTCTGCAGAGATACCAATAGTGTTGCTGGTGCAGGAGACCAGGGCTCTTGCTGACATTCCCTCTTAGTGTCCATGGCCAAACGTCTGGCCATGGTCCTGAGGGGTCTCTACTGACCAACGAAGTAATGCCTGAGAGGGACAAGGACAGCTGGGTTGAAAGCACTCCGTCCCTTCGCCTCTGACCATCATCACCTTCAGGGAAGATGGCTGATGTTTCCCTTCTGTGCTCTTAAGTTCAGTAGCTCTAGAAGGGTTTGGGACCATGGGCTGAGAACACATCTCCAGACCCCAAGCTGGCAAGCTGGAGGAGGATTGGTTCAGCCAAGGGAGGCCCGGAGTAACCCCTGCTTGCTCTCCTTAGATCCTGAACCCACCACCATCACCGGCCACAGACCCATCGCTGTACAACATGGACATGTTTTACTCTTCAAACATCCCAGCCACAGCCAGACCATACAGGTAAGAGTCCATCCCCGCCTTCCCTATGTAGGGAGGAGGGCCTCATCTTCATTGTCCATAGAATGTGCCTCATGGGTTCTGTCTACCATTTTGTTCTACTCTCTGGGTCCTCAGTGCTGCTTCTGTGTGTGGCCTCAGTGCAGGCTAAGTGTTGTTCAGACACCAAGTGAGTACATCTTCTTAATGGGTTTCACTGTCACTTGGGATACCTGGAACATGGCCTTGAAGGAATCCAGCAGAGTAATCACACTTATTGTGAGGAAACCAGTTCTTAGGCCCCAGGCCTCAGGCTCTACTCCCTGCTGTGTTCCAGCCCAGCTATGGACCCTGGTCAGAGTCTGACAAGTGTAAACTCTGTTAGGATGATTTTTGTAATTATTTGTGTGTGTCTGAAGAGCTTGGGCATCCCTTGGAACTGGAGTTACAGGCAGTTATGAGCTGCCTGCTGTGAATACTGGGAATCAAACTTCAGTCCTCTGTAAGAGCAATTCGTGAGTCATCGTCCCAGCCCAAGGGATGATTCTTGCTCCTTTCTCAAAACAGTGGTCTCTATAAGCCTGGGAGTCCTATCTATCTCAGCCTGACCCTGGCCCACAAGTTACTTATATTGGGGGTCTCAGACTAAGTTCCACAAGTGAGGGTGCTGTTATGAGTAATGCTAATCTTAGGGTGATGTAAATACATACCTTATCCCTCTTCAGAAGGTCCCAATGATAAACTAAATAATTCTACCTAAATTCACACCAGAGAACTGAGTTTATCCGTCTGTCCAAGAAGAATATGGTAACGACCTCTCCCTTAAAAAAAAAGAAAAAAATAGCTGCGACACTGGAAAGTCTTCATCCGGTGTGGATGACAGTGACATAGATGGAATTTCTCTTCAGGAAACCTTCCTGAGACCCTAGGCCAAACACAATTAAAGCAGAATTGCAAACAAATGGCTGGGAGGTTCAGAGGGAGGGAGCCATAGGTGAGGATGTAGGACCACAGGTGATAGGTCCCTATAAGAGGAACACCTGCTGTGATGAAAACAGCTGGCCATGTTGCTCAGAGAACCCACATTCTACAGTAGAGTGGCCACAGAATGTACAGAACTAGAATCCAAAGACACTGCTGTGGTTGCAGTAGCTAGAGAGCCTAGGGTACAAGGATGGGCATAACTAACAGTACCCTCTAGGTACTCTGGGCCTTAGCCCCAGGGGAGCTACCTGCCAAGGCAGGTAGAGAGGGCCTGGGCCCTTAGCATGTAGACCAGGGCTCTGGCACCTGTCCAGACCACACAGCCTCCCTGCCTGGGTCCCTGGCTTACTGGGCCTTCCAGGGTGGCCCTGCCTGCCATCTAGTGGTTATTTCTGAGAACTCTTGCACTGGATGTGTCCAGGCTTGCAGCTCTTTCTGTATTGCTGCTCAAGGACCTGCAGTGGCTTTCTAGTATCAGAGTATAACATGAGCCTGCACTGCCAACCTGGGGTCATCATTAACCCTGCAGCCCTGTCTGCCACTGTCCCCAGACTAGAAATATCCATGTCTGCAAAGCCAGCTCCCTAGGTCTCCCATCCTGCCTGCCCTCTTGGTCCTATTCCAAGGCATTGTCCCTCCCATGACTTGCCCTTGATGAGGCTGAGTTCCATCAGGTGTGTGTTACCACTGTTTCAGACTCCTCTTCCTGCTCATTGTGACCCCAGCATGGTGGGTCCAGGATCTGAAAAGATACCATGATCCCTGTTTTGGTGAGTTTAGGACACAAGGGCCTAACACAGAGTTTCTGGGCCACTGATAGATGCAGGCAGCCACTGGGAGGCTTGGAGACATCACCAAGGTCAGGGTGATTTAACTTAAGTCACGACTGTTCCAGAACCACATATCCTCAACAGTTAGAGAAAAGAGCATTGTGTTCAATAGCTACTAAACACTTTCTCCTGCAGGCACTTAGGCTTCTAGTATGTCCCATATAGAATCTTACTTCATCCTTACAAGCCTTTTAAGAAATAAAGCTGGGGAGATGATTTGTCATGCAAGCATTAGGAATGGAGTAAAAGGCCACACATGGCCGAGAACTTTGAATCCCAGAGCGAGGGAAGCAGAGGCCAGACAGTCTAGCTAACTTGGTGAGCTCCAGGTTCAGTGAGAGCTCCTGCCTCAAAGGATAAAGTGGTGAGAGATGGAGGAGAGTGGTGTACTCTACATACACATGGATACACGTACCCTCACACATACATAGGAATATGCACGAACAGACCCAAAGAGGGGGTGTTTCCTTTTGAGAAATGGAAGTTTGGAGGGTAAGTGAGCTCCTCCCAAAGTCAGCCAACAGGTTCTGCTCACTTGTTGTCTGGAAATGGATCAGGGACTTAATTCTTACTAAGCCTTGGCTATGGAGGTTGAGAGGGAGAGAGGAAAGGTGAGCTCCAGGTTATGTCAGTATCACGCCTTGCCCCTGAAAACTTGCTGAGGACAAGCAATATAAGGACCTTATACACAGGGCCAGGCACACTTGTCAACCTCCTTCTCTTTGTCCCTACAGGCCCTACATCATCCGAGGCATGGCACCCCCAACAACACCTTGCAGCACAGACGTGTGTGACAGTGACTACAGCACCAGTCGCTGGAAGACCAGCAAATATTACCTGGACTTGAATTCAGACTCAGACCCCTACCCACCCCCACCCACACCCCACAGCCAGTACCTGTCTGCAGAAGACAGCTGCCCGCCGTCGCCTGTCACTGAAAGAAGCTACTGCCACCTCTTCCCGCCCCCTCCGTCCCCCTGCACGGACTCATCCTGACCTCGGCCGCCCACCCCGGCCTCGCTGCCTCCCTGTAAATATTTTTAAATATGAACAAAGAAAAATATATTTTATGTTTTAAAAAATGAATATAATTGGGATTTTTAAAAAATGAGAAATGTGAACAGTGATGGGGGTGGGCAGGGCTGGGAAAACTTTGTACAGTGGAGAAAATATTTATAAACTTAATTTTTTAAAACATAACTGCCATTCTTTTGTGCCCTGTGAATATTTGAGTTGCCTGTTCCCAAAGAATGAATTTAACCCACTAGATGGCTGTGTGTGACTGTTCTCCTGTGCATGGGTATCCCTCTGTCAAGGCTCTCAGGCAGAAACAGGCCAGTACAGAGAATGGGCCGGTGTTGTGAACTGACCTATATAGTTACATTCTGCTCAAAGGCTCAGGCATTTCCTGTTTTGTAGTGGATCCTGCATGCTGCATTCCTGGGCTTTAAGCTTTGTTGGCATGCTGGCTCATCCTGGTGCCAGTTGTGAGGACCAGAGGCCAGGGTGGCTCATCTGACTTCCCATTTGTGTAGACCCCATTTGATGGAGCTGTGAGGGAACTTCATTCTGCAGGATGTAATTGTTCTGGTCACATCTTTGACAGTGCCCTTTGTTCTCAGAGGCACCTAGCCAGCAGAATCCAAGGTCTGTCTACATGTTCATGTAGGTGGTGCTGAAGAACATAGAGAGAGGCCTGATTCTTGTCCTGGGGAGGGGTCTCCTATCTGTGACAGGTGATAAAGTAAGTGTGGGCTGCTGGCTCTGGCAGCCTGTTTGAGCAGGGAAAGGGTCAAGTCATCTTCTGCAGTCCTTTCTTTCCTTCCCCTAGAACTGTGGGCAATACTGTCTGCATACAGAGCTGTTACATGGCTAGGGAATCGGTTCTCTTACATGACTAAGGATGTTGGCTCATCTCAGGTCTTTTTCCTGTTTGTGGGTCAGCTAGGGGAAGCCAGGAGCCAGTCCAATCATCACCTACTGGGTACCAAGGCTGGACCAGGCCGATGCAGTCATGGATTTAAATCATCTGGCCGGGCATTGGTGGCCCACGCCTTTAATCCCAGCACTCGGGAGGCAGAGGCAGACGGATCTCTGTGAGTTCGAGACCAGCCTGGTCTACAAGAGCTAGTTCCAGGACAGCCTCCAAAGCCACAGAGAAACCCTGTCTCGAAACCCCCCCCCAAAAAAAAATAAAATCATCTGTTACTGGAAGCCTCTGATCAGATAGCCGGGATCCCCCCCATTCATTGAATTTTCCTGGGAGGACATGAACATCATTTCTTTATCCCAGATAAGGCATTGGTTGGGACCAGAGATACAACATCACCTGTCTTGCTTAGTGAACCAGTGAGTTTACTAGGGTTACTCATTGGAGTAGGGGTTACTCAAAAGCAACTATATTACTGAGAAGCCACGTCAATATGGGCCACAACTCATTAATACTGCATTCCTGGAGCTCAACAAGCAGGCACCTGTGGGTTGGAGAGCCTCCTCATCCCAGCTATTAAGTTTGTATAAACTTAGGAAGGGGGTCTTGTGAATCCTGTAAGTTTCAGGAGCCTCCTGAGGCTTGCGAGTTTTGTTTACTTCTGAGCATTGTGGTTTTCCTGTCCTCAAATCTTCCAGCTCTCCCTCCAAGAAAGGGTGTTTTAATTTGGAGGAAAACAGCTATGGGCACTCCATCCAATGCTCACCATCAAGAGATTAGAGACTTTTCAAAACTATGAGGAAGGCCCTGTACTGATACTGTGCTTCCCCCAGGGGGTATCCTGACACTGAAACAAGAAGGTTTTTTGAAGGAGTTAGTGTCTGAGCTGTGATAGTATAAACAAGGGGTGACATCCACCTGGCTATTTAACTTTGTAGCAGCCTAACCAGGTGTTCCCCTTTTGATGTGGAGGAAACCAAAGCTTGGGTGCCACGTTATTGAGAACCAGAGTTGTTTCTATCCACCTGTCATCTTCTAACCCTCCCTGTTCAACTGCTCCCCTTTTTGGTGACAGCCACCTCTCTTCATCTTCCATACACCTCCCTGCGCCCTTAGGAGTTTCCTATTTGTAACAACTCCTCCTTCAGAAGACTTTCTGTTCACAGTATCTCTCCTCCCTGAGAGAGTGTGTCTACAGTGTGTGGTCTGTCATATGTCTATAGCCTGAGCCATTGAGGCAGAGGCAGTGTCCATCTTGATTGGCTAAACAGAGTCCGTGTGACCATGTCTTGGGCATTTTGGAAGTTTGGTGGGCTCAGGTTCCAATCAGTTTATTCCTCTCAAAAGATAGGGGCTGGAGTCTCACCCTCCAAGCTCCTCACTGGCTTCTTGCCGGTGGTCTATTGTCTATCCTAAACCACAGTCTATCTACCTGAATGTCTCCTCTTCCTTTCCCAGAAGCCTGGAGGTCACAGAGGGGTCAATATGCTCAGAGGGTCTCCTTTTTATTGATTTGGCAGCTACCAATGATCCTGCTTCTCTGCAGCTGTTTTTAAAATCAGGAGGGAAAAGGATTTGGACTAACAGCCTACTTGCGTGACTGCTCAGGTCCTCTAGGAGACTCTGGTTCTCCCTCTTGAGCCTCAGGAACTGACCCAGCAACAGCTTGGATGAACGGCACCTGGCAGCATCCCAGGTCCTTCTGGACCTTGTCCTCTGCCAGGACAGTAATGGCCCCATTTCATCCACTGGGCTGTGTCAGCAGTGTGGAAGGTAAGAGAACAGAAAGACAGACATTGGGGTGTCTTTGTTCTGTTTGAACTAAACCAATTTAAAGCTGCAGTTTAAAGAGGCAGAGCTCCTCTTTGCATTGCAGCATATGACAGCTATGTTAAAATGTCTTTTTGTGAACGGTTTGCTTTTCAATTATCTCAATGAATTAAAATCAGGCAGTTCTGTGTTTGCTTCTAAAGTTTAAGGAGTGATGGTCACTTGTTCATTCCACTCCACTTTCTACTGGTCATGCTTTAAAAAAAAATTGCATGCATGTTCTTCAAAATGGACTGAAAAGTGAACCATTAAACTGCAGTAGGAAGTGGGGTGAGGAGAGTGGGATGAGGGATGGGATGGGAAGGGGGATGGAAAAGGAGACAGAGGGGGGATGGAAAAGGAGACAGAGACGGGGACAGGAAGAAGAGATCCATTAAACCTGCAAATTTTCAGATGCAGAGCTTAATCCATGTCATATGCAAAGCTTGTAAATCTTTCCCTGTTTAGGCCTGCCTGTGGCTCTACAGGGCTGGTAGGTGGGCTTCAGGACCAGCTACCTCCTTCCCCAGGAAGCCCTCCCTGACTTCAGTGTGGTTGGCTAGGTTAGGAATGAGTGCACCAAATCTGACAACCTATGAGCTAACTCCCCTGGCCTGGGGGAGGTGGTAGGTTAGCTCTCAGTTGTAATATGCATATCCCTGTAACTCACCTGAGTCTGGGAGAAAGGAATGCAAAAGCAGATGCCAGCAGGTGCTTTCAGTACAAACGAATGAAGAGATGCTGGTTTGTTTGGTGGGCCCCTGGCTGACTCACCCAGATGGTACAGGAGGTTGGTTTGGTCAGTGAGGAAGCACAGATGGCTGTCCCTTCCAGCCATAGCCTACCCTGCAACTGCTGCCGTCCTCTGAGCTTTCTGCCTACTTAACTCTTCGTCAATAGGTTTCAGTTTTAACAATGCTTGTTTCTAGTTGTGTGGCCTCAGGCAAGACTTCCAGCCTCTCTGATCTAGAGTTAACATTTGATGACTTCATAACTGCCTGGAGTGATGGGCGGGACACAGGCTGGTAGATGCTATCACTTGCACTTCAGAGAACTGGAGAGTCAGAGAGGTTGGGTCACCTAATCAAGGTCACTCCACCCCTATATGGCCTCTGGTGTCTAAAGGATCTCTGGACCATAGTTAGCTAAGTGTATAAAATGGGGAATATAAAGCTGTTGTGGACCTACTAGCAATAAATTCTTTCTGGGATCTACTTCCAGCCACAGCTCTCTTGAAAGGTGAACTGGAGGCCAGGTGGTTTTGCATGACTGTACAACCCTCTCTTGCTATCCTGGTAGTGGAGCTCAGAGCCAGAGAGAATGAGGTGGCTGTCTCAGGCCAGCTGGGTCCTGTGTAAAGGTCAGGGAAGGAGGTTCAGAAGTTCTGAACCTGGGAAAAGCACTGAGTGCCTAAGAAGGCATGTCCTGTCTCCTCTAGTCCAGGACTAGGCTCTCTCACTCTTCCCAAGGGATGGATGCCTAGAGGCAGCCTAGAGAAGATACTCAGGAGACACACTATGTGCTCTCTGAGTTTCAGTGAATCACTGGACTAGTCAGAACCACTGTGGTTACTACTGGGAGAGAGCACTGTCACTCCAGGCCTGTGTGACTCAGCCACCTCTGCTACCCAGTCTCCCTCCCATCATACCTTGGCCATTCCTGCCTTTGAAGCTCCAAAGTCCCACCCTGGGGTCTCTGTGAAACCCTGTCTCTCTCTGGCACCAACACTCTAGGGATCTGGAGCTCTGTCCTGTCTTATGACATACTACCTTCTCAGGAGAGTCTGTTCCTCAGTTTGATCATCTTGGTCAAATGGCAGGGATGCTGTTTCAAAAAAGGCTTTCAAGAGTGGGAAACTTTGCTGCCCTTGATGGCCAGCTGCAGTACCCCCAAACAGAATTCTGTCCTGTCCACTCTAAACAGGGCATGTTATTCATAGGGATATAAGGAGTTCTCTTAGTACCTTGCTGTGATAAAATATTCTGAAAAAAGCAATTTTAGGGAGAAAGGGTTCATTTTTGTCTCACAGTTCCAAGGTACAGGTCATTATGGCAGGGAAGTCAAGGTTCAGCCTGCTGGTCACAGCACATTCAGTCAGTTGGTATAGAGGAATGAATGCTTGTGGTCAGCTCAATTTCCCCAGGAGAACTGACAAGTGGGATTAACTATGACAGTGGGAAGTCGGGGATATTTCGGGAGGCTTGCAAGTGTGGATTCTGAAGTCCATGACTTCAGCTTGCGGCTCGACAAAAGTAAG